CTGGAACTGTCTCAGCATATTAAGGCAACTAACTACTTCCTGATGATCTGTGAATGGGCTCCAGTGCAACTAAACAACAGATGATTGATGGAAAGTTGAAGGCAGGCAAACCTTGAAATACATATCAGTCTTTCTTTAAGGCTTCTGATAGGACAAATAAAAATAGTCAAACAGAGACATTATACAGTTCTGCGACTTTTTATCTAAAAATATTAATATAAACTTTAGAGACACTATTAATTCCCTTCTGTTGGACCAATTCACACCAGAGATGCTGCAGCTTCTGTGTAATGCAGAGTATACACAGCTTCCACTGGTGTCACAATGGTGTAACTAATGTTGATCTGCAGACATGCCAGATTATGGTGCAATCCAGTCTCAAGTCTCAATCCATCAATCATTTGTTTATATTTTGCTTTCAAGAAGCCAGACTTTCTTGTAAGTGTAGATTTGTGTATGATAAACATACATGACATATTGAATCAAAAAATGAGGCATCTAACTGATGAACAGCCTGCTGTCAAAACACATCATTTATTTAATTTCTTGAGACTTATTTCATGGCAAACATAGTGTGGTTTGACAAATTTAAAGTATCATTTTTGAGACAACAAAGTGATTCTCAAATAACTATTACACAAAAACCTGGGATGGCTCAGCGTGGTGTGCAGTGTGTCCTTAAAAAGTTTGAGGAAAGTGTAAAGGGGAGGGCAAAAGAAGATGTGACCGGTTAAAAAATTATCTACAGCAGATTAACAGTATCTGAAAGTCATGTCCTTAAGAAAGGACAGGACATGACTGGGAAGAAATCCACCAAAGACCCAGATTTTACACAGGACCTGAGAGATGCACCTGCACATCAAGAAATGAGGGATGGTATTGTGAGTTTTACACAATAACATATTGGCTGAGAGATGTTTCACCAGTCGAATCGCTAGTCAAATCAGACTTTTTAAAGTGCTTTAAAGCACAAAAGTTATGGAAATGTGGCTTTCAGTACTTTGGTATGATTTTACAACTAATCCAAGATGGATGCAGTAAGCCAAGCAAACCATAAAAACATAGCCTTCGTCTTTCATGATACTTTTAAGAAGTTCTATTTTACAGTATAGAGCTTCTACAGTATGTATCGATACAGCAACACGACTGGCTCATGGTTTCCAGTTCACTTGCTGATTGTCTCTAATTAGCTCAACATGTGCCAGCTTTCATGCACGTTCATCAGTGGTTATCTGATGTGAATGGTTAAGTGCAAAATTAAGACCTCCTCAGACAGAGAGCCACTGATGAGAAGATTGTCTTAAAAAATAGCCATCATTTCTGGGTATTAGGCTACCCTCGTGTTTTAATTTATTCTAGCAACCTTTATTGGATGTAAAATTCCTTTTTTTTTCTCCTTCAAATTTACTTGATTTGAAAAGGCAAAAGAAAAACCACAAGGAAAGAAAATGATTGCAATCAGAGAGGCACAGAAGACAATGGAAACTGGTCCTTAATGCAACTGAGTTTCAGTTAGAGCTCTACGGTGAAGAGCTCTATTTTTCCATTTGATTTTCTGAAGTGATGAAGTTTGGCTATGTAATTTGCTCAACAATGCAAAACCATTAATTTTCATTTTGTCTCCCGATCGTTCAGCAAGAAAAGAAAATAGGGAGGAAAGCAACACTTCCAGCTCTAAACAGTATTCATTTGTTTTACTGTGAGTGGCTGTCTTCTGTCTCTAAAATGACAACTATAGAATATTTCCAGCCTAAATGCACAGATCGGCAAAGCTGAACTGAAAGCATTATTCAGCACGCATTTGGGTCGAGTAAAACAATGCTTTGTCATTGTTAAAAGGGACTGTTGAATGGGTTAAGCATGGATTATAACCAATCATCCTGACTGCCACAACCAGTTTACTCTTTCCAGAAAGCCACTGTCCTCTCAGTATAACAGCTTGCTCCGTTGTTGATTTATTGAGAAACGGTCGGTGTGTGAAAAAGAGCAAGCAAATCGAGCACAAATTGGTCATTGTGCTTGATGTTCTGAAACCCACCATTGCTTTTCAGTATACTTCTGCTGGGGGGGAGAACCAATTAAGGGAACTTGGATATCTGAAAACTCCAGGGGCCAGACATGTGGCAGTCAGGGAGTGTTATGGCCAGGCACCTCAATAATTAATGGAAGAAACAGTGGGTAGTAGCAAAGCCTCGACATCAAACCACTATTGGTCTACAGTGGTGTTGTCATTTACTTTTCTGTGGCAAGACTTGCAACTGTTGTGTCATTAATTTGTGTTTTCAGTCTCTTTTTTTTTTGGTTAGAATATTATTGTGGACTGTTGTTTTCTCATGGGCGTTCATTAACTGACCAAGCACTAAACCACACCAAAATATTCACCCTCCCATATTCCCCTCTGTTTTTCCTGATGTAATTGACAGTTTCAGCCATTACTCATTCAAATCAAGCCCTGTTTTAAGCACCTCTGTGCCGCCTAGACATCTGTGAAGTGTTTATTTACTTATGACCCCAGTGTGCAAATTGAAATGAAATACTGTGACATTGGTTGTCCTTCCAGGTTAACGTGGGACCAGACCAAAATAAAGATGAAAAGATGGCAAGAAGTAGAGCCAAGCATACATAGAAATAATTAGAGGCTGACAGATATGAGATTTGAAAAAATGATTTCAATACCGATATTTGGTGACGAAAATCTGATATATTGTTTTTTCTTTTCACAAAACATAAATAGATCCTCTTAACGTTGGTTATGTGTCGTTATTTATGATTCCTTACTAAGGTAATATGACAGCGCTGTTTAAAAAATATTTTGCTTTATTGAAACTCACGTGATTACTTGTTGCCATTTGTTGCCAACATAGTTTAACAAACTGTTCAACTTCAACAGTCATAACATGCTTGAAGGGTGTTTCTCCCATCTATTGTTTAATTGCTAATTTTTCATTTATTGGCCATTAGATATGGAGGTTGGCATATTTACATTTCTTTTCATATTTTAATTTGAGCTGAAGCCGGAAGACAGCCACATCTTAATATCACATTAGAGTCATTCCTCATGTCTGTGTGTCTTAAAATTACTCTTATTAGCAGCATTTCCATCATTTCCATCAAAATCCTACTTGAAATTATATTAATATGTAATTTACTTTGACAGGATTCATTCGTGTTCTCAGTTTTCTCAATTCGGGGTCCTCCAGTAACTCCAGTTTTGCAGATTCTGCCTTTCAAAAAAAAAATCAGTATCTAAAATGCTGTGAACTTAATTTTCTCTCTCTGTACAGATGCGTTTTACGACATCGTCACTGTTGGTGCCCCAGCAGCCCACTTCCAGGGCTTTAAAGGTGGTGGTCTCCAGCGACTCCTGAGCAGATATGAAGCAGAGAAAAAGAGGTACAAAATGAATGTTTACACCATGAAGGCATAGGTACCTGAGTGATTTAATCCAGGCCCATGTTGGAGGAACTGGCTTTTATTGACAAAAGAATCTAACTTGGTCATAATTAATACTGGCAAACAAATTTGTCCCTGCCCCACAGACTTTATTTTTGGAGCCCCATACAGTTACTTACAGCAAAGCTATTGCTGAAATTAGACTGGGACTCTACTGCCTCTGACAGCTCTATTTGACTCGAGGCAACAGGCGTGATGGAAAGGGTTTGTTGAGTCAGAACTTCCTCTGCACCTGTTCTTTTTCCTGGCAAGCATTTTTCTTCTTCCTAAATATGTTCGTGAACATTGAAGAGCCGCTTTTTTCAGCAACTTCCCAGCTGCCAGCTGCAGCTCGCACTCGAGTTTTAAGGTTTCAAGAAAGGGGGAAATTGTCAGCTGAGTTTATGAGCAGCGATAAAACTGGTACTACACAGCAATGTTTGGAGTGCACATGGACACCAGTTGTCAGATGGGTCTGCAGTTAGTCTGCAATAATCCAGCCATTGTGATGACCTCTAATTTTTCTCATAGAACCAAGTCCTTCTAAAACAATATGAATTCTTAAAAAATATTTGCTTGGAGTAAAAACTCTTTCTAATAAACTGCTCTTTCTCAAACAGGTGTTCAACCTAGAAACAGTTTTAGTGCCTTTCATTGACAAACAGGGAGATTTTTATATTTTTATGTTTTATTAAGTTTGGTATTTGGCTGTGAAGCATCTCTCTGCTTCATGGCTGGATGGGTTAAATATGTCTTGTTTGCTTTCTTCACTGACCATCACTGCTAGATCTCCAAATCCTGTCATGGCACTGCATCTGTGATCCAACGTTTGTGTTTGAATCTTTGAGTTTTGTTAATTCGCGGTTGTTTTGATTTTCAAAAATTGTTAATTAGTTCCCTTTACTGTCCCCTCCCTGTTCCCTTAGTCTCGTCTCAGGGCTCAACTCAAGTCTTCAGTTACTCTCATTTTCATGTTGTTTATCTTTTTATCTCTCAGTCCTTTTCTCATTGTTTCCTGTTTTATTTTGGTAATCTCTTATCCTGTGTGCTTAGTGTGTTTTTGCTTTACCCAGTCTCATTTCCTTGATAAGTTTCAGCTGCGTTCCCTGGTGTTTTCACTTCCCCTCATCACCCTCCTGTGTATTCATTGTTGCTATCTCCCCCAGTCCTTTGTCTGAGCATCTGTTCTTCAATCCCTTGTGTCTCCCAGCTCTAGTTTTCAGTCCTCGTTTATGTTCAGTAAGTGGAAGATTCCAGTTTTCCTTTTTATTCAGTTTTATTTTGTACACTGATCATCAGCTTTGATAAATTCTCTAGTTTCCTGTTTAACTCAGCCTGCCTGAGAATCTTGGGTTCTCTCTTTCAACATTTGACAAATGACGTTGATATAATGGTATTATGCACACACATACATATATAAACATATTCACTGAAAATGCCCTCAGGGGCCAACACATCCATATGAGTCTCTCAAACCCGAGATCAGCAGTATCCTGTAAATGTTGCTGTCTTTGCCTTTTGGATGCAGGATGGAGCTATATGTCACTGAGGTTCAGTATGTGGTCACTTGAGTGATGCCAGATGAAATGAAGGGTGATTTTTCCCATAGCTCCCCATAGAGTGCAAAGTCATTACAGACCATGCCAGATCCAATTAGTTACAGAGTTTGCAGCTCAAGAAAAGGGGGAGAAGCAAGATTGAGAGGGCTGAGGTATGGGTATAAAATGGATAAGCTGAAGGGAAAATAGTCGCGACCCTGTGCTGATAATAAAAAATAAAGAAAGGGCTTTTTTTACGGTAAAGTGCACAAGTGAATTTGCTGAAGATGGTCAGTTTTATCTGCTAGCATGAACAATGATAAGGTTAGCATATTTTTGAGAATCCACTGAAGTGAAATCATTCACTTTGAAGGAGAGATTAGACTTCAGAAATAATTCTCTGGGGAGACACAGCTTTTTGTTTCATATTTGACTTAGCTAATGACTCACTGTAGCTTAAATTTTCCAATTTTCCGCCTGGCTACCCGACTGCGGCCTGCACTCAGCCTGCATGTTTGACCTGGAATGTAGTGATTTGTCAGTAAAAACAGAAATAAACTCACATTCTCCAAGTATTCACTCTGGCCATTATAACGGACGTGCACGATTACTAAATGGCTGAAGGACAGGAAAGACACTCATTATTTTATTGTTCGGTTTGCCTTTATTGTGCACACACCAAACGTCAGACCAACTATTTAGCCTAAAAGGACCTGATGAGGCTTTTTGTGTGTGTTAATGCGAAGTACTGTTGCTGTTTCTAAGCAAGAGTCCCTTAATTGCACTGTAAGTCAAGCCTATTTCAGCAGAGCAAAGATTCATGTGCACACACTCACTCGCGCACGTGTTCATTATACTTCTTCCAGTATGCCTCCTCGGCTTTCAGAGGCAGTCTTTTGTAATCACATTTGATTAAAAAGGGAACAATCGGCGAGATGTGAGACTTGGCTATTCAATGTGATATTAATTCATCAAAGAGAAGATGGAAAAGGATTGAGGAAGGAAAAAAGGAAAACCTGAGCACAGAGGTGTTACCAGGAGGGCAATAAAAGAGCTATTTGTCTTTGTTCCCTGGACACTAGAAGAGAGAGACGGGGGGGGGCTCTTTCCAGATCCATTAAAAACCTGCACTGGCCAAACTTGGCATTGGTCAGAGTACGCAATGTAGTTTGTCTCTCAGGATGGGCCAGGAAAGAGTTTAATCAATAGCTACACTTAGTATTCCTCAAGGAATTTTGCACATGTACACGCAGAGCAAAAGCATTTATCTTTCATTAATGCATGCAGTCCCATTTAAATGTCTGTTTTAAAAGTCACTGGGTTATCATCCGTTTTTAATTGAACCCTGTAGACACTGGTTTTGGATTTTACATTACCAATTATTCATCTAATCTGAATAATGATGCATTTTTTGGAGACAGATTCAGAATCCAAACATTGTCCCCTGTTTTTTTTTTTGCCCTGTTTAGACTGAGGGAGACAGTGTGGCTGCATTTTACTGGAAGGAGTTGCAACATAAACGTGTAGCCGGACCAACTTTTGTTAGGTCAGCTTTAGTTAGTTGGTGCAGACGTTATACAGCAGAGGTTCTCCCTGTATGTGTCTCTGAATTCTGTCCACCATAACTGAGAGAGGAAGGAAGCACTGTCATTCCACGAGGCCTCCTGGTCAAGCAGAACTGCCGAGTGACATATTTCTGGGACACAGAGAGTGGGTGAAACTCGCACACCCTTAATAGAGTCTCACGGGGCTGATGTTCAGATTTAATGTGACTAGCAGCATGTTGTCCAACAAAATAACTTCCTCCCTGAATTACTGTGTGTAGTTGAGGGACAGGACATTGGCAGTGGCTGGGACTCCATGCTGATGGGCAGCAGCTTGTTAGTTCTTTGCCTGTTCTGGAGTCAGCCCGCTCCAGGTTGTGTGGATGATGGTGAAGGATGCTGGCAGAAGCCTTGAGGCTTCTCTGGTCACAGATCAGGGTCTGAGAGTGTCTGAATCATTAAGTAAAGTTTTGGCTGTTATTCTGAGAACCGCTCTGAGATCAGTGCCCAGTGGAGGATTCAACAACAGATGGGAGATTGGCGCTTTAAAGAATCTCATTTGAGATCAGATCTTCTAGCATGTAGCTACAGAAAATTGCATATTTTTACTGGGCCGTGAGGCAGTGGCCTGGTTTAAGGACCGTGATTAGAGCATGCTGTCTAAATGACAGAGGAGGTTTTGGCAGTCACCTGAAGTGCTGCAGAGCTCTGTGCTGACGTAGCTAAGTTTTACTCCTGCTGGCTGTCAGCGGGTTAGGGTTAGCTCTTCATTAATTTCCTCTACACTATTAATTAGCCATCCGTTGGAGGTGCTTGCTTAATTATGCCGCTGGGCCCAGTGGTTTTCTCTTTCTCATTACTGTCATAACCAATTCCTATTGATCAGATGGGAAAACCAAAGAAGAAGTTCACCATGGACAAACAAAGAGTTTTAGAAGCATCTTGTCAGGCTTGGAATTTCCTCCTGAACTAAAGTTAGGAAAAAAAAGAGGAGTGCCATTTGTGTCTGAGCATCTGGATGAGCGAGATGCTGCTTGTCTATGAAAAGTGAATCCTAAGAATGGTGATAATTTTACGAATGAATCAATGTGCAGGTGTAAAGCGCACTCAAGTGTGCCGTGCTTATTGTGGGAGTGGCAGCACACCTTCGGTATTTTAATAACTGGAGGTGTAGGGCGCACCGAGAGTGGTGAGAGGTGGGATTAAAAGGAATCTATTATCATACATTATCAGTGAGTGTGTAAAAGTCTGGCAGCAGTTCTTTCTGAAAACATTTCTCTTGCCACAGTGCTGTCTGTAAAGGAGCCTTACCTGAAAGGAAACCAATATTCACAGTAGAAGGAGACATGTGAGTGCAAATATTGTCCGATGCAGACATACCTCAATAGTCAGATGAATCAAATTGTTGTTTCCGACATTTTCATTTCATTGTGTTGACGCCACAGACCACAGCATTTCCATTATGAAAATTATGAAAACTTAACAGCAAACTGTGTAAGAATCGGCACAAAGCAAACTCAAAAATACACATTGAAAACAGAGAACACAGCAGTGAAATGCAGCAAGACACACCGCACAATACAAAATGAGATACAAGATAGAGCACTATAAAACAAGAAGATAATTATTTGACTCCATAACTGATCCCAGTTTTGTTTAATATAACATCCAAGTCAGTATGCGGTTGAAGTTCTCTTGATGAAGACTTCCTCATGTTGAAAACAGAGAAAAGCTTGTTTTAATCAGACCAAATTTTCATACTGAGTAAACATTTAAAATTTTCCAGCTAATAAGCCACAGCATTAAAAATAATGTTTACACTGTAACTTTCAAATAAAGGACAATGCTGGGGATATAAACTATGAGTAATACCAGGATT